AGTTATGGAGTCACGACAGGGTTTGGTGCAACTTCCCATAGAAGGACCAAACAAGGCGGTGCACTTCAAAAGGAGCTTATTAGGTAATATTTATTTCATCAGCACCTTATTAGGTATTTAATTTTTTTTTTCCTAATCTACGTTTTAAAATTAATTGAATACTGTTTTAGAATATTAAATACCCTATATGTTCCCTAAAATAAAAACTTAGATTTTTTTTTATTTTTATATTAATTAATCTATATTGAGTTTCTTAAGAATTCTTAATTGAAAATATTTAATGTATTAAATAGTATTAGTTGATATCTACTGAAAATCTATATTAAAAATAATTTTAGATTTAATTTTAAACATATATTATTTCTTCAATATCAGTGAAATTGTAGAAAATGCATATTTTAGAAACCGATGGTGTAAATTTTAGAATACCATACATTTTCCAATAGGTAAGGAGAATATAATAAAGAGACTTTCTGTATTTGTTGTAACTGAAGTACGTTTTTTTATGTCGGCCAACTGAAATACTCCTAAAAGTTTATGAGTTATTCTAGGTTCACCCCCTAGGGTGAACCTCTAGGTTCACAAACCAATAGGATGGTGTTATTTAATATTTGATATCTTTTAAAAAAGGAAACAAAATCTTGTCAAGTTATATTATATTTTTAAAATAAAAATATAAAAAATAAATAAAAAATAATAATATTTAAAAAAAAACGAAAAAAACTTAAAAAAAAATATTTAACACTAAAACACTAAACACTAAACCCTAAACTCTAATCCTAAACCCAAAACCCTAATACTAAACCCTAAACCCTAATCCTAAACCCTAAACCCTTGGGTAAATCATAAACCATTTGGGAAAATCTTAAAATTAATACTAATCAATTATACTATTTTTTATTTATTTTTATCTTTTTATTTTAAACACATGTTTTTATTTTGAAGATAAATTAAAATATTTTTTTGTTTTAAATTGTTTTTTTTGCAGTTATTACTGTTTTTATTTTATTTTTATCTTTTATTTTAAAACATAATATAATGTTAAAATATTTTTTTAAAGATCTTTTTTTCGTTTTTGTATATATTAATATTTTATTTATTTTTTTCTATTTTTATTTTAAAAACATAATATAACTTGACAAGATTTTGTTTCCTTTTTTAAAAAATATCAAATATTAAATAACAACATCCTATTGGTTGATGAACTTAGAAGTTCACCCTAGGGGTGAACCCAAGAATAAGTCAAAGTTTATTATGTGATCTATTTTTCGCCTAAAATGTTATCATTTCTTTGGTAATTGTGGTACCAGATAATTATGGCGAATATTTTCATACCAATATTAGTTAGCTCAATTAGTTTGGTGTTTGGCAATAATAGGTGAAATTAAGTTAGACAGAAATATTAGTTACATGCCATTCACTTCACACACCGAACTTTTTGTTTGTTATCTAAGACACAAAATGAAAGAAAATATATTTTTTCTGTGTCCGTAATATTTATTTAGTCACGGGCGAAATTAACGGCTAACATGCAATTAATGACCCGATCAGATTCTTGAACGCCGGAATATTCGGCGCCGGCGTCGGAGACACGTCACACACGCTACCTAAGCCAACAACTAGAGCGGCTATGCTCGTCCGTGTCAACACTCTCCTCCAAGGCTACTCTGGAATACGTTTTGAGATTCTTGAAGCCATTACAAAGCTTCTTAACAACCAAATCACTCCATGCATCCCTCTCCGTGGCAGCATCACCGCATCAGGCGACCTTGTCCCCCTCTCTTACATCGCCGGACTAATCACCGGCCGTCCCAATTCAAAAGCTGTTGGTCCCTCCGGTGAGACACTCACTGCCTCCGAAGCCTTGAAGCTCGCCGGAGTACCGTCCTTTTTTGAGCTGCAGCCAAAGGAAGGACTAGCGCTTGTGAACGGGACAGGGGTTGGATCGGGTTTGGCATCTACAGTTCTGTTTGAGACCAATGTTTTGGCGGTTTTGTCTGAAGTTATGTCTGCGATGTTCGCTGAGGTTATGCAAGGGAAGCCTGAGTTTACTGATCATCTAACGCATAAGCTTAAGCATCATCCTGGTCAGATTGAAGCCGCTGCGATTATGGAACATATATTACATGGAAGCTCTTACGTTAAAGAAGCTCAACAGGTTCACAAAATGGATCCGCTTCAAAAACCTAAACAAGATCGGTAATGTTTCTTGCTTCTCAAGTAACTGAAGTAGGCCCAGGCAAAATAACCTGAACCCAAAAAACTTACCTGAAATAACTGAAATCTAAATCATACTAAAATATTTTTCAAATATCCTAATGGTTTTTATATTTTATATTAATATATCCAAAAGTATCAGATATCGGAAAATATACAAATATTTATTAGTATATTCTTATACATATATATATATATATATATATATATATATAATTTAAAGTATACTTAAATCATTAAAATGTTTTGAAATTAATTTATCTAGAATTACCCGAAATTATCCAAAACAATCTGTACAGTCTGATTTGTATCTGAATGTCATAATTATGATCTGAATTACCTGAATATCAGACTGAATTAAATAGAACTGTATCAAACCAAAACTTAATTTTTTTCGGGTATTAGACGGTTCTTATTTTTGTTATTGAACAAATCCGAATTCGAAACTATCTGAATCGATCTGAATAAAAAAAAAACATTGGCGGTTCTACCGTGAATACTAACATATCTTAACCGAACTATCCATATCCGAAATAACCGAGCCAAAGGCCTAAACCGAAGTTTTGGCTTTTGTTAGCTGAGAGAATATTTTTCGTTTAAGCTGCAGGTACGCGCTAAGGACGTCACCACAATGGCTAGGACCACAAATAGAAGTCATAAGAGCAGCGACCAAGATGATAGAGCGTGAGATCAACTCAGTCAACGACAACCCTCTCATCGACGTCTCAAGAAACAAAGCATTACACGGCGGTAACTTCCAAGGCACGCCTATCGGTGTCGCCATGGACAACACCCGCTTAGCCATCGCTTCCATCGCAAAACTAATGTTCGCACAGTTCTCTGAACTCGTAAACGATTTCTACAACAACGGTTTGCCTTCAAACCTATCAGGCGGGAGAAACCCTAGTCTCGACTACGGTTTCAAAGGCGCGGAGATAGCAATGGCTTCTTACTGCTCAGAGCTTCAGTTCTTGGCTAACCCCGTGACTAACCACGTACAAAGCGCTGAGCAACATAACCAAGACGTTAACTCGTTAGGGTTGATCTCGAGTCGAAAAACAGAAGAAGCTGTTGAGATACTCAAGCTAATGTCCACGACCTACTTAGTGGCCTTATGTCAAGCTATTGACCTAAGACATCTCGAAGAGAATCTCAAGAAAGGGATTAAAACCGTGGTGAGCCAGGTGGCGAAACGGGTTTTAACGGTTGGTGTTAACGGTGAGTTACATCCGTCTAGGTTCACGGAACGTGATGTTCTCCAAGTGGTTGAGAGAGAGTACGTGTTCTCATACGCGGATGATCCTTGCTGCGTTGCTTATCCGTTGATGCAGAAGCTTAGACATGTTCTTGTGGATCACGCTTTAGAGGATCCGGAACGTGAGGCTAATGTCTCCACGTCGGTTTTTCAGAAAATAGGAGCGTTTGAGAGGGAGTTGAAGTTGGTTTTACCAAGAGAAGTGGAGCGTGTTTGGGGTGAGTATGAGGATGGGTGTTCGGTTGTGGCTAACCGGATTAAGGATTGTCGGTCTTATCCGTTGTACCGGTTTGTACGTGAGGAGCTGGAGACTGAGTTGTTGACCGGAGAGAGTGTTAGGTCGCCGGGTGAAGAGTTTGATAAAGTGTTCTTGGCGATTTGTGATGGGAAAGTTATTGATCCTTTGTTGGAGTGTCTTGAGGAGTGGAATGGAGCTCCGGTTTCCATCTGTTGAAGACAGATCTTCATTGAAGATTATTGAATACTTATACAGGATTTGTGTGTGTTTTTATGTTGATTTCGACACTGAATATTCTCAAAATTTTGGAACTAATATGTAATCTGTATGATAAAATGCTATGGTTTTAAGGATTGTATCACACGCAAGTGGATGAGGCATTGAGCATAGGGGATGCAATGTTGTTAGTTGTTAAAAAAGGTGGTGGCATTGTGGAAGTGGGAGGCTAGAAATGCTAAATGACTTATTATATTAGTAAGCTGTATCATCCAAAACAAGATGCTTTGTCTCTAGTACAAGATTTACATCCAAAATATGGATTCAGTATAAATGTGAACTTGTTAGGGAAATACTTCCTTGACTGAAGTAAAGTTAGAAGAGGAAATAATAGAGAAGTAAAGTCTGATACTTTTTCAGTTTTAACTTAACAATTAAGTTGTGGACAAAACTAGAGAAGTCTGAATCAGCTACTTCAGGGATGTCACGAGAGTTCTGGTAACCGAGGAAACGAGGTGAACCACATCCTCTTGTGGTTAACATCAATGATTTAGAACAATGTTTAACAATCTAAGAAATCAACTAATAGAACGCGCTGGAATGGTGATTGAACGAGAGTTTTGGTAACCGAGGAAATGAGGTGAACCCCATCCTCTTGTGGTTAACATCAATGATTTAGAACAATGTTTAACAATCTAAGAAATCAACTAACAGAACGCGCTGGAATGGTGATTGAACGAAACTATTTTATAATTAGTTTGAATTAGATTTTTTGGTTAAATCGAACTTGTAATCAACATTGAACTTCTGGTTATAGGGTAGTTTAATAAAATAATTTTTTTTAAAAAAAGTCTGAACCTTTGAAGATTCATATGCTTTTTTTTTCTTAACTTTTGGGTTCTTGTGTAGACACAGAAGCTTATGTTATTTTGACCAGAGAGTTTCAAGTATACAGTTAAAAAAATTTAACTTAAAATGCATATATGTTAATATCTTATGCTTAGCCGACAAAAAAAAATCCTTATGTTTAAAAAACATTAAAGTCTTTCATTATTTATGTGTTTGAAACATAAACACGATAATAGTTGAAAAAACAGAGAAGAAGCAGAGCCAAAAAAAAATGGCTACTCTTTCATCCTCTCTACTATCTTCTTCTCCTCCTCTACGCAAACCAAGAATCTCACCAACATCTCTCGTATCAGGATTCATCTCTTTCTCCTCATCCACAATCTCCTTTCCAGCGACTCTTTCTCTTCCTGTCAAACACACTCGCCACAGAAACTCTCTCCAAGGTTTGAAATTTTTAAACTCTCCTCATTAAAAACATTGAACTGAGTATTAAAATGATCAAAAGGCTTCTCCTTTCTGATTCATATGTTCAGTGAAATCAGTAGCTAGCCCAACGGAGACAGTCTCTGAGTTCGATGAGATGGTCTCCGGCACGAAACGGAAGTACTACATGCTCGGAGGTAAAGGAGGTGTTGGCAAAACTAGCTGCGCTGCTTCTTTAGCTGTGAGGTTTGCTAACAATGGACATCCTACTCTTGTTGTGTCTACAGATCCAGCTCATTCCCTGAGTGATTCTTTTGCTCAGGTGAGTAAGAAAAAAGAAGATTACTTTGTCCTTAATTGATTGACTGGTGACGTGTCTCTATGGTTAGGACTTGACTGGTGGAATGCTTGTGCCTGTTGAAGGACCTGACTCTCCTTTGTTTGCTCTTGAAGTATGTTGGAGAACAACACAATGTTTGTTTTGTAGTTTAGTTCTTGAGGGATCTATAATTTATAGCATTGTAACAGATAAACCCTGAGAAGGCTAGAGATGAGTTTCGTAGTGGCTCGCAGATGAATGGAGGAACTGAGGTTAAAGATTTTATGGATGGTATGGGACTTGGGATGCTTGTTGAACAGGTTTGTTGTTAATAGCTAATCAGTGTGAGCTTTTATTGTTTGTGATGATACTAATGATATGATGATATTGATGAAGTTGGGGGAACTTAAACTTGGAGAATTACTAGACACACCACCTCCTGGATTAGATGAAGCCATTGCAATTTCTAAGGTTTTTTTTTCTCTGATCCTTCTTTTCTTTGTCTCTTGATTTTTGTGTTGTCTCTGCTAATAGTGTTAAAGGGTGTTCACAGGTTATTCAATTCTTGGAATCACCTGAGTATAACATGTTCACTAGAATAGTGTTTGATACTGCACCAACAGTGAGTATAACCTATACTTAAAACTAGCCTCCTTTGTTTTAGTAAAGTTATTGTTAAGACCAGTGTTCTTACTAATGGTACTAACAGGGTCATACACTGAGACTACTCTCCTTACCAGACTTCTTGGACGCGTCCATAGGTAAAATCCTGAAGGTGGGAGATGTCAGATACAACCATTCACTTACCTTCTAGTGTTAATCTGTTTATTCAGTTTCTGAGACTTTGTCTCTCTTCTGCATGTACAGCTTAGGCAGAAAATAACCTCAGCTACTTCAGCAATCAAATCAGTCTTTGGGAAAGAAGATAATCAGCCTGATGCTGTAAGTCTTTTGTGTATATTTTGTGATGACACAAGTTTCATTCCTTTTTAACTTTTTTGTGGATGTGAAAAAGGCTGAGAAATTGGAACAACTAAGAGAAAGGATGGTTAAAGTTAGAGAGCTTTTCCGTGACACAGAGTCAACAGAGTTTGTCATCGTTACTATCCCAACGGTATGCATTGTCAAAGACATTTCCATTCAAAATTAAGACATCTAACTCCTCTTAGTGTTTATTGACATCTTGAAGGTAATGGCTGTGAGCGAGTCTTCTAGATTAAGCGCTTCCTTGAAGAAAGAAAGTGTCCCCGTCAAAAGACTTGTTGTTAATCAGATTCTTCCACCATCCTTCTCCAACTGCAAATTTTGTTCCATAAAGAGAAAGGTATAGATACACACACACACAAACACACACACAGAGATTGGTCTTGACACTCTTGTCTACTCCTCAACCAACGAATGAAAGAGAGAGTTTTGTCAATTTTATGTTTTACTGTGGTGAAATGCATGTAAACGTGACAAAATGAACATGCAGGACCAAATGCGCGCTCTAGATATGATACGAGAGGATTCAGAACTCTCTAGTTTGACATTAATGGAGGCTCCCTTGGTTGACATGGAGATCAGAGGTGTTCCTGCTCTGCGCTTCCTGGGCGATATAATTTGGAAATGAGATTATCACACACATTACTAATGTAAAGAAGAAGAAGAAGCAAGTTTAGTTGCATGAGATAGTGTTGCTTGATACATTACATAGTTTTGGTACAGATGTTGGTTGGTGTAAAATGTTTAATTTAAAAACTTCAATGCTTAAAAAATGAGTATTAGAGTAAAGCCTACAGATATCTTAGAGAGGTGTGTTTGTGTAGATTGTAGAATAAGACCTAAAACAAGCCATTTGCTTTACATAATAGAACTAGATTTTGGTCCGCCCTTTAAGGGCGGGTATACTTTTGTTTTAATATTTTTGAGAAGTTTAATGTTTTAATTTTTGTTTTCTTTCTTTCTAGAATTGTATTTATATTTAATCATTTATGAATAATATTAAAAAATTAATGTTATTGATATAACAATAATTAAATAATAAATAGTTGGACCAAATATTTATCAATTAGTTATGATCATGTTTTTATAGATATAGTTAATACATAAACTAATAAAATTCTAAAGATAATGTTACTGTTTATTAGTATAGTTTATGACAATTATTATTTTTTTACCAACAAAAAAAAAGTTATTTCCAATAAAAAGTTAAAATCAAAATCAAAATAGTTTCTCATCTTTAAATAACATTGTATTGGTCTTAACACCGAAAAACATAATTATTGATCACACGTTCAAATATATATTATGCAACTGTCTATTCTAGTTTACATAAAAATGAGAGCAGTTGTAAGATAAAAATATGAGTGATGGGTTCCTATTATCTAGGAATAAGGAGAGGTTGTAACATATATCAATATTCATATTGGTAAGAATATGTAGAAATAATTAGTTTATTTAAAGGTAATTCAATGACATAAAAGTAATATTCCAAAGCAGCCTGTAATACAGACATAACCAAGGGTCCACAATAATTAGTCTTGGACAAATTTTTTATGAAAATGTATGTATAAAGTATACCAAGGGTAAATAATAGCAATGATTCTGTTTTAATAATATTGATAGCAAGGCTGTCACTTTTTACATAACCAAAAGGAGAGGAGATTTTAACTTAAGCCAGTGTTAATGTTAATCCAAAATACATGTATTTACTGGCTTAAATCAAAAACCCTTTATTTTATTTACAAATATATAAAACGTCGACCAGTGCTTGCTTACTTAGGCTGTACACATTGTTTAAGAACTCGCTAGGCGCTACGCGTGCGGTCGAGTAGCGCCTAATTCATTAATCGGAAATTATACGGGGATTAATCGGTGAGGAATTTCAAAGCTTTTATGTTCAGTTTTAGTTTATATATTAAAAATGTGTAGATATATTGATGATGACTAGTAGTCTAGTGGCTGAGGAGCGTGGTTTTGGGCCATAGAACCCGGGTTCGACAGAGCCAAGCCACATAATTTCGTTTTTTTTTTGTTTTAGGTTAAATAAATTAGCAAATGACTAAAATAACCCTTTTCTTCAACATTCTCCATTACGCTTTCTGCAACTCAGCCGCTTTTCATTTTTTTTTTTTTGCGATTTCAATGATTTGTTTCATTATTCTTGTAAGTTATGATCAAAAGACATCAAATCTAAGACACATACATGATTCTATACCTAAAATCTACAAAATCATTCAGTTTTCTTATTTTCCCGATTTTTTGACCGAATAACACCAAATCGTTTCGGTTCAACACCGATTCACGTGTATCCGGCGATTAATCGTCCGCCTAATCCGCGTTTTAGAACAAGGCCTGTACATATAGCTCACTATTCATCAAATTCTCTGGTTGTGTTATAAATAAACTGAGCTCATAAGAAAAAGCCCAATAGGCTTCATTGTTAATAATTACCCATTACGCTTAGCCGTTTGAATCAAACAGATTATAGTATACGTTTTAACAACCTAGCAAAAACTGTAAAGGCCCAATGAAAGAAAAGTCAATGAACTCCCCCGTCAAACTATCCCATAGACCACGGAACTCTTGTCCGAAAGAAAAAAAACCACGGAACTCTAATCTGATTCAAAATTACGTAAACACCCTTCATCCACTCACGTTACGGTAACTTTCGAGGCTAAAACCGTAATCCACCACTAATCTGCCATTACAGCAGTCTCCATTCCACTTTTGGCATGATCATCGCTTCGCTTCCCAACGCAATCCTCTGAACCTCTCTCCCCCTCTCCATGTCAGCCTCTTCCTTGCGCCGCTTAGCCGCCGTACTCGCCGCTGCATCCGGTGGCGCTGTCTACCTCTCCCCGTCGGTCGCCTCCAGCGACAGAGGCGGTGGTCCGATTCTAGACTCCTTGAAGCGTAGGATCGGTGATCCAAACGCTTCCGTACCTTCTCGATCTGCTCAAGAGTCTGTTCTGATCGGAGCAAGCTCTTCTGATCCTCTCGATGTACTCGTCATTGGCGGTGGAGCAACTGGCTCTGGAGTGGCTCTTGACGCTGTGACACGTGGACTCCGTGTTGGTTTGGTGGAGAGGGAGGATTTTTCTTCGGGAACGTCTTCGCGTTCGACGAAGCTTATTCATGGAGGTAAGGGTTGGAATGATTGCTTTGGTTTAGTAGGTGGGAACTGAATGATGTGATCTTGCAATAGGGCCTTAGGCATTCATGATTAGGCCTAGGCGTGTTTTTACCCAACCGAACCAAAATCCGAACTAGGATCTTAAACATATCCGAAATTAGTTAAATAAGTTGATCTTTTATAGATAGTATTTTAAAGATTTTTGTAGTTTTTTATTTGTTATTTTGAATACTTTTTAGTTAGTTAGTGTAGGTAGTTTAATTAGTTTTTGATTAGATTTTCGAATAATTTATATATTTTGAGTATTTTTTGGCCAATTGCCTATTAGTTTTTTTTTTTAAAGTTTTTAGGCGATTTCAGGCACTGGTTATAAACCGATCTGAACCGAACTTGGAGAAACTAAACTGAACCTGGAGAGAACCAAACCGAAGTTAGTAAAACTCGAATAGAATTTATGAACACAATACCGAAAATCCAAAAATCCGAATCCGAACGGGACACACCGAACGTCTAGTAAAACCTAAAAGTTATGAAAACTATAGTTTTAGTTTAAAAGAATATTTTAACCAAAAAAAGTTAAAAAAAATAGTTTAGTTTAAGTGTCTCCTTACATTAGTTTACACTGATTCTTGAACAGGTGTTCGGTACTTGGAGAAAGCTGTATTCAATCTTGATTACGGACAGCTGAAGCTTGTATTCCACGCGCTCGAGGAGCGTAAACAGCTCATCGAAAACGCGCCACATCTCTGCCATGCTCTCCCCTGCATGACACCTTGTTTTGACTGGTTCGAAGTTGTCTACTTCTGGATGGGACTTAAGATGTACGACTTGGTCGCAGGACCACGCTTACTGCATCTCTCCCGGTATTACTCTGCACAAGAGTCTGCTGAGCTCTTCCCAACTCTTGCAAGGAAAGGGAAAGACAAGAGCTTGAGAGGCACTGTTGTGTATTATGACGGGCAAATGAATGATTCACGTCTTAATGTGGGTTTGGCTTGTACTGCTGCGTTGGCTGGTGCTGCTGTTCTCAATCATGCTAAGGTTGTGTCGCTTATTACAGATGATGCTACTAAGAGAATCATTGGTGCCAGAGTTCGTAACAATCTCACTGGTACAGTCATTTTAGTATTACTTCTTCTGTGTGATGATTATTAATGAGATGTTTTAATTTTTGATAGGTAAAGAATTTGATAGCTATGCGAAAGTGGTTGTTAATGCGGCTGGACCGTTCTGTGATTCCATTAGGAAGATGGTTGATGAAGATACAAAACCAATGATATGTCCAAGCAGCGGTGTACACATTGTGCTCCCTGATTACTATTCACCGGAAGGGATGGGGTTGATAGTGCCTAAAACTAAGGATGGTCGTGTTGTGTTTATGTTACCGTGGTTGGGAAGAACAGTAGCAGGTACTACAGACTCCAACACCTCAATCACTCCTCTTCCTGAACCTCATGAGGATGAGATTCAGTTTATTCTGGATGCAATCAGTGATTATCTTAACATTAAGGTATGTTCAGATTCTGCTTAGAGATGAATAGTTAATTAAGTTGATGATATTATCAATCATTGAAATTTTGGCTAGGTTCGACGTGCTGATGTTCTCTCGGCTTGGAGTGGTATACGACCATTAGCTATGGATCCAACAGCAAAGAGCACAGAGAGTATCTCGAGAGACCATGTTGTCTTCGAGGAAAATCCTGGTTTGGTTACTATCACTGGTGGAAAATGGACAACTTATCGAAGGTGAGGGAGTTAGCAAAATGTTTATAAAGTTGTGTTATTAATTTACTCACTGTGAATTTCATTACAGTATGGCGGAAGATGCGGTTGATGCAGCGATCAAATCAGGAAAGCTGAGTCCAACCAATGGATGTGTAACACAGAAGCTACAGATTCTTGGTTCTCATGGATGGGAACCATCTTCTTTCACAGCTCTTGCGCAGCAATACGTGCGCATGAAGAAAACATATGGTGGTAAAGTGGTTCCTGGAGCAATGGACACAGCTGCTGCTAAGCATTTGTCTCATGCTTATGGTTCAATGGCTGACCGAGTCGCCACCATTGCTCAGGTTCGGTTCTGCTCTTGTAGGTGATTGACTATAATCCGGTTTATGATCTGGTTATGTTTCGTTTTTTTTTTAAATGCAGGAGGAGGGTTTGGGGAAGAAGCTGGCACATGGACATCCGTTTCTGGAAGCAGAGGTTGCTTACTGTGCAAGGCACGAGTATTGTGAATCGGCGGTTGATTTCATAGCAAGGAGATGTAGAATAGCGTTCTTGGACACAGACGCAGCGGCGAGGGCGTTGCAGCGTGTGGTGGAGATTCTAGCGAGTGAGCATAAGTGGGACAAGTCGAGGGAGAAGCAGGAGTTGCAAAAGGCTAAAGAGTTCCTTCAAACTTTCAAGTCTTCTAAGAACGCACAGTTTCACGATGGCAAACACAACTAACTAAAAGCTAAAGCTGCCTGCCTTAGAGAAAAAATCGAAACTACATTGAATTAATTATTTTCTATTTTACAATTGTTGGCTCTTGGATAGTGACTAGCCAGAAGGAATAAAATACTACACGGATGGAATAAGACTGCGGTCTCTCAAATGTTTATTTGATTTAAACATTTTTGTTTCGTCTGCAAAATGTGGATATTCACATCTTTTTCAAATTCATTGTAGACAGTGGAGAGCTAATTTTCTATGGTCGCAATTCATTTCATGTTGTATAAAACAGTACAGTCAGAATGAGAGTGAACAGAGA